TCTTAAGAGTTTACCTTCCACCAAAAATTCTGACCTGAACATAATGGTCTCTGACTTGTTGAATAGAGGGAAGCTTGCTGATGATCAACTAAAACCTCAATTGTCTCAGCCTGAAGTTTCCTCATATCAGAAAAACCAAGCAAACCCTTATAGGAGTGTTGGAGACGCACTTAAGGAATGGAAAGAGAGAGTTAATGTGTCTGTTGACCTTCCAGGCACTAACAAGGAGTTACAGGGTGAGATTGAGGATGAGAATGCTAATGAGTACGGATATGTTTTTGAGTTTGAAGAAGGAACAGCTCAGGCATTGGGATCTGCAACATCTGAGCAGATTGACACAAATGTTAGTGGCAATGAGCCTGATGAGTGTAATCCTGCAGGAAATAGAGATGTCACCAACATGGAAATTGAGGAGCAAAATGCTGAAGAATGCCCAACCAAGCACGTTGCATCAATTGTCAAATGGAAAAATGAAGAGGAGACACCTGTTGCAGAGTTAGAGATATCATCTCAGGATGAGCCCTTGGGAGTTCACAGTCAAAATGACGGCGGTCTGGGAAGTTCTTCGGAGTGTTTGATCTCTGTAAAGAAGTCTTATCTCTATGAGGATGTATGCCAACTAGACAAACTGTCTATACATGATGAGAAGATGGGAAAAGCCCTGGATCCAGAGGAAGTTTCTGGTGACATAAAAAATAATGCTACTGCACTCTGGAGAAGATATGAACTGCTCACAACAAGGTTGTCTCAGGAATTGGCTGAACAATTGCGTCTTGTCATGGAACCCACTCTTGCCAGCAAGCTACAAGGGGATTACAAGACTGGAAAAAGAATCAACATGAAAAAGGTAGGCTACATGCATGTTTACCGCTGCTATGGTTGTAAACAACCTAATGAATGTTTTGATTTGTTGTAAATGTCCTTTCTTTTCTCAACTCTTCCAATTTTTTTGGATTAATAGGTGATTCCATACATAGCAAGCCATTATCGAAAAGATAAAATTTGGCTGAGGCGGACCCGACCAAACAAGCGTGATTATCAAGTTGTGATTGCTGTTGATGATTCACATAGTATGTCAGAGAGTGGTTGTAGTGATGTTGCTATTAAAGCATTGGTGACAGTGTGCCGTGCCATGTCTCAGTTGGAAGTTGGGAACCTGGCTGTTGCTAGCTTTGGAAAGAAAGGAAACATTAGGTTGTTGCATGATTTTGATCAGCCATTTACTGGAGAATCTGGGGTCAAGGTTAGTGCTAAAGTTATTGTTGATATCTTCTTGTTAAGAGTAATAGCTGGTCATTTCCATCTGCCTTGTCCCATGGATAAGTCTTCCTTATAGTTTGGCATGTACTTTTGTTTGCTTTCAACAGTAACAAAAGTTGTAGAGACTGGTTTTTTATTTTCCTTATTCCATGGCTGGACAGATGATCTCCAATTTGACATTTAAACAAGACAACACCATTGCGGATGAACCAGTTGTTGATCTGTTAATGTACTTGAACAACAAACTGGATGCTGCAGTTGTGAATGCACGGCTTCCCTCTGGACAAAACCCACTACAGCAACTTGTTTTAATTATCGGGGATGGTCGGTTACATGAGAAGGTACCTCTGAGTTCTTGCCATGAATTAGAACCTAAAAATGGGAGACCCAAAGGTCAATCATCAATGATGTTGTTACTTTATTCACTTCTGTGTCCGTTTATAACAACTGCAGGAGAGGTTGAAGCGGTTTGTTAGGGATGTCTTAAGTAGCAAGCGAATGGT